GTCAAACACGAACAATGTTTGACTAGTTTTAGCTAGAAATAATTATATAATTGAAATTGTCAAACATTGTTCGTGTTTGGATCGTTTATATATCGAATAATTGACTAGTTTTAGCTAAAACTAGTCAAACATTGTTCGTGTTTGACTAGTTATAAAATTGTTCGTGTTTTATAAATCATCTAATAAAATTGTTCGTGTTTGGATCGTTTATATATCGAAAGCAAAAAAATTGTTTGTGTTTGACTAGTTAAATTAGCGATTGAATCAAACATGAGCTTCTTAACAAGCCGAACATAAATTGTTCGCAAACAACAAGTTGTTTTCATTGCCCCAAAAAACACATTAGAGATCTTGTCTGGAAAATAGTCAAATTCATCCAGTCGACCTAACTAAGCCAATTACATTCAGCTCAGGCAATCCTCTTCCATTTTGCTATACCATCAATTCCCGTCGGCTGGCGAGCTCCTGTCGGACACCAACATTCAGTCAAAAAAATTAGCCTCTCGCGAAAGTTCTCCCTAAAACATATTCAGAAAAATAATTTGTCCAAGAGAACATAGGTCTCCAAGGGGTGAAAACGAGCTACAAGAAAAATTAAACAGAAAAAAATCTCTCATGCCCCTTCTCCTTAATTTTCTTTTATTGTATTTATGTTTTTCTTACTTCTTCGATTCACCCATAATGCTTGGGGAGCTTGCTCTCACCAGGAAATTACTTAAAAGAAACATAATTGGCCTACATTTTTGGACCCTACTCGGCTTTATGGGCAAAGGCTAGAGAAGACTTTGGAAAAAAAATATTTTTCCAAAATAAAACTCAGTTTAATAAAGAATAAATTCAATTCACGGGGGATTAAGGAGCACGAGATATCGACCTAAGTAAATTTGACATATTATGGCGACATCTCCCTATATGAGAGCTGACCCTGTTCGATCAGATAACTATCTGACCTGCAACATTCATGCGTCATAAAATTCCCATGACTCTTACCTCGGGAATATAAATCAAGCTCTGGTAGTGATTCCCTGCTCGTGATAAGATCCATAGTTGATAGCTCGTGAATTATCCCAATAACAAGACTACAAGGTTTCCCAGCGAAGATTGTGACAATATCAGCTTAACATGGTTGGCGTAAGGCGCGATCCTATCCCGACTTGACCTATTATAACAGATATACGAAAATAAATTATACCATGTTGAGTGCGCAATAGATAATTAACCCAATATCTATTTGTAAAAAATCTTTTATCTTCTAATTTTTATTATACATAGCCACTAAAATCATCGAATAATACAAAAAA